TCTTTATACTTAGCATCTTCATTCCTTGCCTCCCAATTAAATAATAAGCTCTATGAAGACAAGATTCACCTCTTCTAATGCCTACCCATAGTTCCAATGGGTTTTTCATTCTACAAGAAGAGGAAGAGGAAGACAACGATGACGACTACCACTACCACCACCACCACCACCACCACCACCACCACCACCACCACCACCACCACCACCATGAGGAGGAGGAGGATGACAATGAACTCTTCCCTCAATGTAAGTGAAAGTCTACATGACGCAATCTGAGCTCTCCCTGGCAAAAGTTCTCTCTAACCTAAACACTGCAGTTTCCACCCCCATTAAGCAGACGTTAGCTGCAGCCTCCACGGAGTTTCCCATGGAGGAGTCCTTTTGTGGGATTATTGGGCATCAATTTCATTTGTGATCTTCCAATACCATTTTTAGTTTTGCATATCCCTAACTCAAAGCTTGCCAAGATATCCAATCAATGAAACTGAAAGAGAAGCAAACGCTCTAGCAATCCCTATTAAAGGAAAAACAATATTACCATCTTTCAAGAATAGAATCAATAGCTCTTTACACAGCAGCTGACAAGATCAGGCTCCTTTCTAAATGACTCTGCAAGTGCAGGGAAGATGGGAAGTCTCAGGCAGACTGTCTCCACGTCTTTCCAAGGAGCTACACTTTCTGCAAATCCTCAGCTGTCAGGAATTGTCCTGTCCGGGTCTTAACACGAATACATGCACAGCCCACTGTCAGAGAACACTGTGTTTCCCTTTAGGATCTCTACCCCAGCCCCCCTACCTGGGCACAGCGGAAAATGGAATGAGTACTAAGTAATAAATTATGTAGGTAAAACCATCATGAGCAAAACAAAGTATTAAAAAAAAAAGACCGCTCCTAAGCACAGACATTAGGACACATTAACAATCCTCTATCCGTATTTTATTCGTGGAAATCATTAATAAATAAGTAGTCTCCTTCGACCCTGGATGGGCTTTTTGTACATCAGTATTTCAGTTTCCAGGACACTCCACACTTAACTCCCTCTTTCCCCGCCCCCAGAGGGCACAGCTGTAATGAATGACAAGACCTGGCTAGGAACTGACAGGTGAGGAAGAGACCAGCTCTCCTGCTCGTAAGGATTTGAGAAGGTAGGTGACATATCCAAGGTATCCATGGTTAGCAAATGTGATATGGACTACAACTCTGACTTAGGCCTACGGTTCATCTTACTCATCCAAGTGACCTGAATGTCTGTCACTAACTACTGGGGATAAAAAAGAAAGACAAAAGAAAGTATTCAAATGCCAACATGTCACTCACTTGTCTGAAATCAAGTAGCTAACAGGTAACAGATAATAGACAACACAAGGCTAACCCACAGTAGAGGCCTGTGCACTCTACCATTTCCCCTACTACCCTGCCTCAGAAGACTCAGAGTTGGGAAAGAACTGTCTGCCAAAAGTAAAGCCTAAATAGCCTAGGAGTTTTTATAACTCCTTCTAACTCTGGAAACCAGCCAAGTGCCATCACTCTATCCCCTTAAGTCTGAGACAGGGTTTCATGTATGCCAGGCTAGCCTCAAACTCCCTCTCCAGCTAAGGACAGAACTTCTGAACTTTATGCCTCTACCTCCAAGTGTTGGTATTACAGGCATGTGCTACCACTCCTGATTTATGTACTACTGGGGCTTGAACCAGGGGCATGAAGCATGTTAGGCAAGCACTCTAGCAACTAAACTATGCAGTCTTTTTAATTTGTATTACATGCAACTACTTGGCTTTCTCATAGATGACCTCATGTCTCATTTAAGATGGTCAGACCCTGTGAGTAGAAAGTACTGAACTGTATAAGACAGTGGGATTCTGGAGGAGAAAGAAGCCTGCCTATGATTCACAGCCAGGAAACAGGCATGTAGGACTTCATGTTAACCTCTGTGAGGACAGCCACGCTAACCCTACATATGCTAACTTAGTTAATTATCTACCTTCATTAACTCATAAAGTGTAACAGGAAGCAAATGCTGGAATCTGATAGTCCAAAACGAATGGGGGGAAATCAGAAAGGTCACCTCAGAGTGCTCCGTCCCACGCAGGTGGATATCAGGTGATAGCTAACACATACTGACAAGACAGGCATCTGTATCTATCCCAGAGCTCAGAAACAGGGAAGGCATCCCACTAATCTCTGAAGGCTCTGTTTAATCTGGACACCAAAACCAGGCAAGGATAAACTGAAAAGGGAGTACAATGCTTATTACTATGCTTATCATGTGTGACTACAGTGCAGAAGTCTTGATATGTTTATGTGAAAAGCAAAAATATACATGTACTATCATCCCATCTGTGAAATAAAAGCTGCCTGTGAATGCAAGGTTACATATATGTGTAGTGGGTCATGTGGACATGTGTTTACACACACACACAAGTACAAAGACAGAGGTACAGAAATGTGAGTGCCACTGTTAACAGACACTGCTTGAGACACATGTGACTGCAGGGTAAAGGGGTAAAGAGACAGGAAGAGAAGGGAGAGACATTCAGCTTCTAATCTATATTCCCATGATCCTTTTGGGTTTATAATTAGCATGCTCCATGTCTGATAAATAAAAATACAAATTAAAAGCAGAACCCAACTATTCTTTTCCTAGAGCTGCTCTAGTTAGTATAACCAACTCTAATTCTTTTCTTCATTCATTCAACAGACACCCAGGGTCCAACTACTACATATGTCTACTGAGTTAAGTTGGAAAACAAGCATGCTAGTCGCCATGTTCTTAAACAGACCAGATACTTCTGTAAGACACGAGAGAGTTCAGTCAACTTCTAATTTGTATCCACTCCAGATTTTCAAAATCTTATACTTCAAAAATATTATCATTTTTCCAATGACTAAATGTATTTATAATCATTTGACAAATATTAGTCCCTGATTATGTGTCAGGTACACTGCCAATGGATTTGCCACGAAGAATGAATAATATATGGTTCCTGCCTAGATTCTAAGGAGCTGGGCATCCCCACACATTAGAATTTTAAGGGGTGCAGAAAAGTTGGACTAAGAACTAAAACTTCAAAGCGAAACTGTACCCTCCAATACAAAACTGAATTCCAGTTTGACCCACAGAAACATCATTATTTTTTGTACAAAACTGTTCAATTACCTTAGCCCTGGAGGTACAAATTAATAGGAAAATAGAAGCCACACTGGCTGAGAGAGTGAACACAGGGCTCTAGGATCAGGCAGGCATGAAGAAGCAGATACTAGATACAACCACGACTCTGTTTCCCCACCTGAGATAAGGAAACCATACCTTCCCTCTATTAGGATGGGAGAAAACAATTTATTCTTAAAAGCATGACAAAATCTGGTAACACAGCAGCAGTATGCTCATACACTTGCTTCCTTTTATCTGGTTTAATTTTCCCCCCAACTTTGTCATTCATTAACCAAGCAAAGTGTAATTTCTGCATGCCTCACCAAGTAGAAGAATGCAGGAAGTGAAGTCAAAAGACACAAGTCCACATTCAGACCCCGTCTCTAACCGTAAAGTTTAAAAACAAGCAAAGCATAGAATCTTTCTGCACCTACCAGTAAACTACATAAAATCTACCTTCTAGCATGATTTGGAGATCCAATATGGAAATACCTGTGAAGACATAAGCTATAAACATTTCTCCAAAGAAAATACACAAACACCATAGAAACATAAAAAGGTAAAATGAAAATAAAAAACACATCACTTGGCAACTACTAGGATTGACAGGACTCATCAAAAAGACAATCTTTACCAGGGAAGATACAGAACAGGGGGACCCTCGGGTATGTGGGGGTACAGCTCAGCTGGTAAGGTTCCTCCATGTGCAAGACTCTGAGTGTCATCACCTAGACCACATCAAAAACAAATTAATAGAAGAAAATAGAACCTTCATACATTGATGATAAGAATGCCAATATATAGCAGCTCTGGGAACGGTCCTTCAAAATGCTATGGTCACCATGTGACCAGAAATTCCACACAGAAGTATAGTCCCAAGAGAAACAAAAATATGTTGATAAAATATTTGAAAATGACTATGCACTGAAGCATTATACAAAACAGTGAAAGTAACCCAAATGTGCAGCAGCTGAATTAATAAACTGTGGTATATCCACACAATGGAATATTATTCTCCCATAAAAATGGTACATACTATAATATGGATGAACACTGATGATGTTAAGTGAAAGGACTGAGGACCACACAGCGCATAATTCCACCTAAGGCATGTCCAGAAAAGGCAAATCCACAGAGACATGGAATAGTAGTGCTTGCCTAGAATTAGCTGTGATGTTTACACAATCTTGTGAATATACAAAAACTACAAAACTGTACACTGTAAGAGTGAATTTCATGGTGTGAATCCATCATCAGGGAAGCCAGGGCAGGAACTCAAGGCAGGAGCTGAAGCAGAGGCCATGGAGGAGTGCTGCTTACTGGCTTGCTTCCATGGCTTGCTCAGTTTGCTTTCTTATTATATAAGCCAAGACCACCAGCCCGGCAACAGCATCAGTCCAATCAAAAAAAGCCCCCACAGACTCACCTACAGTAGACCAATCTGATGGAAGTTAAGTCCTTAACTGAGATTCCCTCTTCCCAGGAAATTCTAGTTTCAGTCTAGTTGACAAAAGCTAAGGAGAACACTAAGTAAACGGCCTACTTTCCCCCAAGAGATGACTCCTGTTTGCCTGCAAGAGCTGAAGAAGCTTTTTGAAGTTAGATATTACACACAAATGGTGTTTTTAATAAAGTGAACTTATTCCAAAGACACTGTACAAAGCAGATTAATCTGCTATAATCTCATTCCTTAAAAAGAATAAACTTTAGAGACTGTGTTTGTTCTAAGGGAATCCTTATAGGATACATATACATACATCAAAATGTGATTTTTTTTTTTTCTGACTTTTCAGATACATCATCAGTAAGAATGCCTGTTTAAAAACACCTTTAGGCACCTGCCAATCACCTGAAACCCAGGCAGACCCAACTTTTCTGTCCTCATTATAACGTTCTGCATTCTGCTTTCAGATTGCTGGGTCCGTCATTGCATCCTATTCTCTTCCATGGACTATTCCAGTGCTCATCCACGGTGGTTAAAATGCGGGCAAACTCTTTAAATGCATAGAGTAGGGCCAGTTTTTAAGGTTCAATTTCATCTGGAATGTCTGAATACATATTCAGCAAAATGATTTCCTGGAATTCGGGATATAAAAACAATCCATAGAGAAGTGTAAATGCTCTGCAATTCCTTTGGAGTTTTTGTTGTCATAGGGTAAAAGCAGCCACCAAGTTCTGTCCACAAGAAGTATTATGCATAAAGGCTTCCTGGTGCTAGAACAAAGAAAGTATTTTATTGCCTAAAGCAAAAGGAAGATATTTTCCTTCTATTTAGTATTGTTATACTAAAATAGCATACCAATGAAACCAGCGAGGTGTGACAAGACCCAAGGTTTGTAAACAAAGATAAATTGTTCTTTATTGAGATTTCTTCCTGGATGGGGGTAAATCCATCCCACTAAGAAAATAAAATTGATCCGACCAAAGAAAACCACATGGATTTTCCAACATGAGGGTACCCTGAGTGTCAATTTTAATGTGAGGGCTTGTCATACTGCTAGCAGGCATGGTGGGTTATGCTGGATTACAGACAAAACCTGAAGACAGCTAGGACCTGTCAAACAGCAGCTGCCTAGTTATTCCCACAGCAGCACTCCCAACTTCTCTGGGTGAGGGCCATGTGTGAGAGGATGTCAAAGCTCAGAGAGCCACGGGGTTGTCAGTGTCTGCATGCCCCTGCCGCAGGCAGGGTGAATCCCACCATCCCCTCCAGAGCTAGGCAGACTGCGGCTCGCCTTCCTTCTAGCGGACACTGTCCCCGCACCCTGGCCAAGTACCTCGGGCCTCCCTTTGTGGCCATCTAGGGCTTGGAGGGCTGTGACCCGCCCGCAGGCCCCGAGGAAGCCGAGTCCTCCGGACGACCCCTGAGCTCGGGCCCTGCAGCCCGCGTCCCGCACCGGCGGCCACCAGCGCACACAAAGGAGCGGGCCAGGACGCAGAGACGCAGGGGCTTGCCCGGGATGCCCGCACGCGAGGAAGGAGGGGACCCCGTGAATCCAGGCTGACACTCAAACCTGTTGCTGGATTCGGGGCCCGGGGACCCCGCCAGGACGCGGGCGCAACGGGTGCGGGCCGAGGCCGAGGCGGCGGGAGCGGGGAGGGCCCGCGGGGCTCGCACCTCGGGCGCTTTGTCTGCGGCGGGCGCGGAGCAGCCGGCGGCGTAGAATGGGGGGGGGGGGGACCGCGCCCGCCCTCCCGCCCGCGCCCCGCGCGTCCCAGCCCCGCGTGGCCTGCGCCCCCCGCCCCGCGCGGCCGCACTCACCTGGCTGGCGCGGGCCGGGCTGGCGGGCGCTGGGGACGACGCGGGGACGCCGGCGCGGCGGGCGGAGAGCTGGGCGAGGCGGGGAGGGAGGCGGGCCGGGGGCGGAGCGGCCCGGGCGGCGGGCCCGCGGCAAATCGCTGCCCGGCCCTCCGTGCGTCAGGCTGGGGGGCGGCGGCGCGGGTGGCCCGGCCACCTCCCGGCACCCGCGGCCCGGCCCCGTCCGCGCGACCTCGCGTGCGCCGGTGGCCGAGGCGCGGAGACCCCGCCCGGCACGGAAGGGGGCGGGGCGCCCGGGATTGACGTCCGGTGGTCCCCACCGGGAGGAGCCCGAGCGCGTGGGTGGTGGAAGCGGCCCCCGGGACGGGGGTCAGGAAGTATGGCTGGAGCTGGAGTGACCCTGACACCTTGTTTGTTTCCTCCTGCTTCATCCACCTCCCCACTCCCGGGGTCTCCGAGGTCCCCCTTGGTCTAAGGTGACCCCTTTGTGCTGGGATGCCTGTGGTCCCATGTACCCAAGGTGGGAAGCCGGAGGGAAAAGGGTTTGCAGGCAGGAAGGGCTGGGTGGGATTCCAGACTTTTGTTTGGCTCTGGGGATCTTTCAATTGGATGATCCAAAATTCACAAATGGGGCTTTCTGATGAGGATTGCTTCAGAGTCTTCTTTCTTATTTTATTGCACAAGTCACTTTTAGGTCATTTCCTGAATTCAATTCGTAAGAGTCATCCACACAAAACCACAATGGCCACATGGTCCCAATTCCAGGCCTTCCATAGAACTACACTGTCACTCCAGTATCACCCTGCTCAGTTGAGAAACTCTTTCCATTCCAAATAGACACCCAACTTTCCTCTATTTAAGCTCTCTGGCTGAAAATCCGAGAGAGATTCCTTCCGCTTAATTCTAGGGGGCCAATCTGTATCTATTGCTACTTGGTTTAAGAAGTCCTGCTTTTTAGCACTCTGAGGGCCACACGGCTTTCCAGATTCTCTTCTGCCTGAGTCCCATGCAACTGCCAACAAACCTTCCAAAAAACGGAGCCCAGCATTGCTACTTCTGCCTCTAAAATCCTCAGAGGTTGCGTGTGGCAGTAGACAAACCCTTTTAGAATCTGATTCCTCTCCCTCTTCAACTCAAGTGCCATCTCCTTCCATATCCACACACCACACAGAGTCCACAGGCTCGGAGGCTGTGCTCCCGTAGTCCCTCCCGCTTGGAACCTACCCCTTGCTTAACCAGGTGAATGCCTACTGTCCCCAAAGACAACACATGGCTTCCTCTTCCCAGCACTGGCTCACAAGCCATCCTTTCACCAGCCCAAATCCTCACCCCACACACTAAATTAGACCTTCTTTCCTCTCTACTTTCACAGAGCCCCTGATTCCTATGGTTATCCTTAGCACTTTTCGCATTTCTTTCTTTGGTGGTCTTTACTTCCTGGATCATGTGATCCCTAAAAGGACGGAGATTTGACCTCCCTCGTTTCGCATTCCTCAGAACATAACACAGTGCACAACACGAGGAAAGTTCTCCTTTAACTGTTGAGGTTAAGTCATTTTCTAGTCAACAAAAAAGTACTAAGCATCAATCCATTTAAAGAAGAGGAACTACAACAAAATCAGCACTCCAGTGTGATGGTTTTCCTCCCTTTACTACGTGGGACTCTCTGCTTACCATTTTAAAACCTGTTTTCTCCGCTCACAGTCTTTGCTTACCCTAATAACAGAAGAACGTGTTGTCACTTACAACACCACCCTGACTTTTGCATGCACACTTTACCTACCCATCCCTTCCGTGCTGTATCACCCAGTTACTTGATAAGGGACAAGAGAAATGAACAAAACCAAATGAAAGATACCAGACTATGAATTTACAGGCTGAAGATGCTGCACCTCTCAGTGGCGGATAAAATGAGCTTAGCTCCATCATTTCTTTTGAGTAGGCCCCACATCCGGAGTTCTTTTGGTTCTGTATTAGCACTTGGAGAGTGTGTGTGTGTGTGTGTGTGTGTGTGTGTGTGTGTGTGTGTGTGTAACGGGGGTGGGGGGGGGCGATTACTATAGTGACCCTTGCAAAACAAGTATCCATCCCTTGCTTGAGTTCCCAGTCACCATCCCTCACTACCCAGTGTCATTTTTCTCTGAAAGGTCCTGCCACCCCCTCTGTATAACTGAACTGTGTGTTTCTATTAATGTAGTGGGTAGACAATGGTATTGGTAGAAACATCACCTGCCTTAACTCTAGTTCTAAGTAGAGTAGGCAGCTCCTAGATCTATAATTGCCTAGCTCTGTGACCTTGGACAAGCACAAACGCTACCAGGATGACTGCCCTAAAAGGGAGTAGTAATAACAATGATTGCACTATAAGTCATTCTGATAAAATATGAAATGAAGTGTATCAAAGTGTCCACAAACCTGAATCTAGAACTAAAGTATGTTTCTGGGAACAGACTATCCAGGTTCTTCTGCATGTAGCCTTGGGAACATTTGCTAACAGCAATCACAGCATGTTCTCCTTCATCTGTGCCCCTTTTTCACACTGCACCCACCTTCTCCATCTAGTTAGTGCCTCTTAAATTGTGCCCAAAACAGAACCTCCAGTTCCGCCTGTGAATGATGGCATTTCAAAACCAGGCTTGACATCACATGACTGCTTTGCTACCTCCCTGTGCTATCCATACATATCAAGGTATCATCAACTAAAAAGAAGCAAAATTATTCCCAAATCTTTTTAGGTCTTTACCACAGACACAGTGGTTAAAAACATATCTTCTCCAAACTGCATTTTGTAGCTCTGAGGAGATCTTTACATTCGTGCTTCTTAAATATCATTTTAGATGTTCTGCACGAAGAGCCCCTGCCAAGTAGATAGCAGTGTGCAAGGAGAAGAACATTCAAGGTTAGGGACAAAGAATCCGAAGGGCACTTTAAGTAAAACGTTTCTAAATTTCATGTTTTCCTGTACAATTTCCCTGGGGCTTCTTAAAGCTGCATTTAAATATCATTTTAAAGGATGTGGATTCTTAAACTCATCTTGTTTCCTTTTTCTAACAAACTAATGTCAGAAACCACTTTTTATGAGAATGTTCCATGCATGGTATGTTTGGGTCTCTTTAGAATTCATCAAGGTAAGGCAGACTATTATTATTAATGCCTTTTTACTGGAGCTTTGGAGCATTGGGCAGTTGCTGGGGGATGTCTTTCTATACACTGTGAATATATGTTGTTCCCATTAGTTAATAAATAAAGCTGCATTGGCCTGTGGCAAGGAAGCTTAGAGACAGGCAGGAAATCCAAGGAGAGAGACAGATAAGAGAAAGACAGAGTCTAGAGAGATGCCAGCCTGCCACCTAAGGAAAAACATGCCAGTGGACCGGTAAGCCCAGGAACACATGGCAAAACATAGATTAACAGAAATGGGTTAATTTAAGATATAAGAGCTAGCTAGCAAGAGGCCTTCCATAGACCATATAATTTACAGTTAATATTAAGCCTCTAAGTGATTATATAAGCGGCTGTGGGGCTGGTGGGGACCGGAGAAACCTGGCTACAGGCAGTTTTCAAAACACCCCTTACACCACTAGCACTAAAACTGACTTTCTGGAGAAATTATACTTCCCATAGCTAGCCCTTGCTGAAGGGATGTGCCCAGGAAGTATTCTTGGGCTATATGTGTGTTCCCTAATTATTACTGATTTCTCCTGGGTGTAATGAGGAGGCAGGTCACACTTTTTCAAAAAATGACCTGGGGGGAAAAGTTTAGTCCAAAAAAAGTTGGTCCAATCAAGCAATCAGCTGGCGAAGATTAATGGAAAAAGAGATACAAAGGTAGCCAAGATTCCTGGGCAGTGGTGGCGCACGCCTTTAATCCCAGCACTAGGGAGGCAGAGGCAGGTGGATCCCTGTGAGTTCGAGGCCAGCCTGGTCTACAGGTCTACAGAGCGAGTTCCAGGACAGGCTCCAAAGCTACACAGAGAAACCTTGTCTTGAAAAACAAAACAAAAACAAAAACGAGAGTAGCCAGGATCACGAAGAGCCCTGACTTAGCACTATTGGACAGGAGTTAAGGTCAGCCACAGTGTGACTAAGCAGAGAGCGTCTGTTCTCACTCATCCACACTATTTATTAGGCACCCACTTTGCCTTAGATACTGGGGTTACAGTACAGACACAACAAAAACTTTGCTTTGGGAATCATGTTTTCAGTGGGGGTACAGACCATAAGCACAATAAGTAAGAAAAGCACATGACATATCAGAAGACTATGCATGGTGGATAAGCAATGTAACAAATAAAAAATACAGGGAGTGGAGTACATTTGTTATAACTAGGCCAGGGAAGAACTCACTGAGAAGGTTCCACGGTGGAGGAGGAGACACTATGTGCTTGGGAGGGCCTGGGATAAAGATAAGATAAACATGGAGACAGGGTAGAAACAGAGGGATCCAGGCAGTTGGGGAGTCCTCACGAGGCAGGTGCCATGGGAGCAGATGTCAGGAAATATGGGACTGAGCATCCAAAGCCTGGCTCTGAGCCTTCTTCACACAAACTAAACAAGAACCAAACAAGCTATGAGGGAGGTCCCGCTGTGCACTGGACTTAAGGCCTGATTCCTATAACTGGCCTTTAGGGACAAACAAAAAACAGAACCTTAGGAACTTTTTTAACAAGTAAAAATCAAAATTTGGGAACTGTCCAAGCAGGAATG